TTTTTCGACCTTTGAACGCGCTGCAACTCTAAATTGCATCGTCGTCCCGAGGCGCGGCTTTTCAGTCAAATCGCAACCGTAAGATGACAGGGCTATGCGCATATAGAGTTTTACACACATAGAAACAATTAGCCTTAGGTCGGACATGTCCTCCTACAGGTGGATTTACGAAGCAAAATCAAAAGTTGACAAACATGCTCAAAAATAATAAAACATCGTTAAACATCGTCCCCTGACTATCTTTTGATTTGTTGTTTAATATATTCGTCCTGTACAAAGACGTGCCCGACGTAAGGCTGGTGCTGAACCCACACCCCTGGTGGCGCCTCCGACATCCGGCCGCGGTGCGGCGCGCGCGCCGCCGGGTGTCGGAGGGGTTTGCGGGGAGAGGGGCAGTCTGGCGCCAGGGCCGAAGCACGCGCTCGCGGAAGAAACCCCGACAACTTATGCTGCCAACGGCTTTCCTCTGTCTTCGAGATCACAGTCGACCCGCATCATAAGGATGCGCGATAAAGGGTGCAAGGCCCTTGGAAACTCATGTCGACACCCTGCGAATGGGGCGCGGCCAGCGAATGCGGCCAAGGATGGGCCGAGGAGGCAAGGATGCAAGGGTACCCTTGGGAAGGTTGCCCATCCTTATTATGCAGGTTGACTGTCAGACTTGCCATCGCTCTGACGTCCATTCCCCGTGCACTTGTCGGCTTCGTGCGCTGTTTTGTCGAAGGAGGACCCTGGATGCTCCTAGATGGTCCTCGCCGAAAATAAATGGGCACGTCCGAGCGATGCCGGGCGAAAGGAACGGGGGAGAGAATTGGGGGCCAGGCGGTCCAAGCATCGGGTCGATGAATCGACTCGGGTCGACGTCGGCGTGGACGTCGAATCGGCAAGAATCGGCTGAAAATCGATCGGCGCCATCGAATGAGCAAGAATCGGCAACACCGAGTCGGACACCGGGTATTCGGTACCACTCGGACGCCCATCCCCCGTGTATTTCTCGGCGAGTATTTTTTTCGCAGGGTGATCCAACATGTTTTTCGATGGTCTTCGCCGAGATCAAATACACGCGTCCGAGCGACGCCAAGGATCACGGTGCGGCGGCATACCCTGCGGTGGCGCCGACATCGCAAAGACCTCGCCGGAGGACCTTGGGGCCCTGGAGGCCCCTGTCGCTCGAGCCACCCTCGGAAAACGACCCACGTCGCAAATCATGCCCACCCACCGCTATTGATACACATATATATATATATATATATATATATATATAGTCGATGTGTGTGTATATATATATGTGTGTATATATATATGTATACGTATGGGGGGGAGGGGGCCCTGGGGGGCCCGGAGTACACTGATTCGTCTTCCGGCCGTTTTGGACCGCGCGGTGGTGCGAGAGTGCGTCAATAGAGGGGAAGGGGGGCGACGAGGGGGTTCGAGAGACGTCCAAGAGGGCGCCAAGATGGCCCAAGAGCGCTCCCAGAGAGCCCAAGACCGCACAATTGCATTTCAAAATTGGTCCAGCAGGCTTGAAGACAGCCCAAGAGAGCTTCAAGACGGCCAAGATGCCCTCAAAAGGACTCCCACGAGGCACTCAGGAGGCGGGACAAGTAAGTTTTGTTTCCAGGGTGTTTGAAGATTGTTCGTGTTCTCGCTGTTTCGTGCTTCCGACGGTCCAAGACAGCCCACAGGGCCCCAGAAATCAGCTCAAGACGGCCCAAGAGGCACCCTAAGAGGGCGCCACAACGGCGCAAGAGAGTCCCAAGACGGTCCAAGAGTGCCCCAAGACCCAAGACGGCCCAAGAGGCGCCAAAGATCGCCCAAGAGGGTCCCAAGACGGCCCCAGGAGGGGCCCAAGAGGGGGAACACGAACTGACAAGTCGAGCCTTCCGCCCCAAGAGGCCTCCAGGAAGCCCCCAACAGAGCCCAACAGGCCCCCTAGAGGCCCCAAAGGGGCCCAAAAAGAGGCCCCAAGAGCTCCCCAAACGGCCCCCAAGAGGCCTCCAAAACGTACCGGTGCATAGCATAGGACCGCCTAGCCGATCGTGGCGTCGCAGCGTTGCATGACATGGCATGGCACGGCACAGCACGACAGATCTAACCGTGCCAGTGCATATCACAATTTGGTTCAGCATGCCATAGCATTGCATTGCTTAGCAGTGCCCAGTTTAACCTAGCACTGCAAGTCATGACGTAACATTTCCTAGCATGGCATTGCATCTCATGACACATCGTGGCGTACTATGGCATTCAAATGCACATCAATTAATCGAGCAGCCCCGTACTGAATTGCGCAACAGTAAACAGAAATCATGCAAATGTCACACTCCCGTTGTTGTTCTTACTGTCGTCTTGTTGATTTTAGCCTAGCAGCTCCGAACATGGCATAGCATTGCATTGCATTTCCTAGCCCAGCAGGCCGTGTTTGTGCATACCATGCAACGCGTTAGCATCGACCTTCATAGGAAACATAGCATGATATGATTCGGCGTATCATATCATATGTTAGCATAGCATTCCACAGCACAGCATGGCATTGCATGCAATGCACACTGTGTAATGTATCATGTTGTTGTATTGCATACTGCATCGTGACAGTGCGCTTTACAGCGTAGCATTGTGTAGCATGGCATTCCATGACATAGTTCAACATGGCGCTGTAGCGCTGCATGTTTCCTGGCCCATCGCTTGGCGACAGATCACCGGTCGACGGGTCGATGACAGCGGAGGAGGAGTAATGAGGAAGAGGCAGGAGGAAACAGATAATGTTGACCTCATTATTCCTGACCGCCTTGTTGTCTCAATGCGGTCATCACTCGACCAGCTGGATCTCGAGCGCGCGCGAAGCGCGCGCTATAGTTCTAGGATGCACGTATATATAATATAATCTACTATACTATAATATAATATACTATACTATAATGTAATATAATATAATATAATATAATATAATATAATATACTATAGTATAATATAATTTAATAGAATAGAATAGAATAGAATATGATATAATAGAATAGAATATAATAGAATATAATAGAATGTATCAGAATATAATACAATAGAATATAATAGAATATAATATATTATGATATGATATATAATATAATATAATCTGATATATATATATATATATATATGTATATATATGCACATTAAAAGTGATCTTCGGCCCATCCCGCCACCGTGCCTGGGTTGTGGGTAATCGGTTTCTAGGATGGTCGTCGGAATGTCGCGGAAGAGGCCTCTTGGGGGGCCTCTTGGGGGCCTCTTCGTGTGGGGCCTCGAGCTGGAGGAGGCCTGCAAGGCCTGACGGCGGCCTCCGAGTGCGGCGAACGGGCCTCCTGGCGGGATCCGCTGCAGGCTTGGGGGAGTAAAAAGCCTCTTGGGAGCCTCTTGGGGCCTCTTGGGGGCCTCTTGGGGGCCTCTTGGGGCCTGGGGGTATCTAGGGGCTCCCAATTTTGATCCCCTCCTTGAGCCGTTTTGGGGTCCTCTTGGGCCGTCTTGGGCGCCTCTTGGGCCGTCGCCCTCTTGGGGATATCTTGGTCCGTCTTGGCGCTTTCTTGTGGGACCTCTTCGGCCATCTTGGACAGTGTGAAAGCTCAAGAGTCGTGTATCCAAATCGCGAAGCCCTAGCTGGAGGCTTCTGCGAGGCGGGTAATTCATACATGGCATGCTTTAGTATTGCAGACGGTGTGTTCAATATGTGTTTGGTGCATTTTCCACTGGATGCCGTCGTGGCTTTCAATGAGGGGCGCCGCTTCGGCGTCGGCTTCCGTGGAATTTCACGCTTGCTCTTGGGCTGCCCAGCGGTGGCCCTTTGCCACCGGGGCACCTGCGCGACGGCGGGTCCCAAGGCTGCGCCCCTGACGGTCCAGGAGCAGGAGAGCGCAGGCCCTCTGCGCCCTCAGCAGCCCCAGTCCCCAATCCCTCCGTGCTGCAGCAGGGGATGCTCGTGACAGCCATTTCTGGCGAGCACGCTGCACACTTTTGCCCTCCTCGTCCTTGCCCTCCTTCCTTCTCATCCGGCCTTGTCTTACAATTTCAGTGGCAGCGAAATTTGATTCGCAGTGCCAGCGGGTTTGTGAGAGGTGCGAGGCTGGTCGGAGGCCGTGTTCCGTGCCAAGAAAAAAAAAGAGTCGTGTATCCAAATCGCACGTCTTCCAAAGGGAATGTAACGATCATTGTTCTCGAGAGGGCGCCGTGGCCGTCATTTTCCAGGCTCCCGCCCGCCAGGTTTGGGCCTCAGGCCGTTTTCACTAAACCACGTTTTATTAAAGGGGGGTCTGTCCATCCCCGAGAAGGCTCCTCAGGAGTGAGGACTGAGGTGCAGGGGATAGAGCCACGGATCCGAGGACACTCCAACTCATGCACGATGTCACGACAGCGGATTTAGAACTGGCATCGCTCGGACGTGTGCATTTTTCCCTCGGCGAGGGCCATCGAGGAGCATCCTTGACGATTTGGCGAAAAAGCCACGCACGAAACCGAAAAAAACACAGGGAATGGACGTCCGAGCGATGCCCAGTAGAGAGACATCGGCGGCGAGCCGAGAGGGGAACGCAGAGGGGCGGGCCTTCTCAGAAGGCTCGGAAGGCCTCGCGCACTCGGAGGCGTGCTCTATGCCTTCTCCAGAAACAGAGGCGGCTTCTCAGAAGGCCAGAGGGCTTCTGAGAGGTCCCGCCGCTTTCTGAGAAGGCCTGCCCCCTCTCATTTCCCCCCTCGGGCGCGCCGCGGATACATGCCTGTGATCGTGCTGTTTTGGACAACCTATCCGATCCTCGTCCCGCGCACTCTTCCCCCTCCACGTCCGGGTCAAGAATGGAGCGTTTCAGCCGCTTTGGAGTTCTTTTTATTTTTCACCCAGCCACAGGCTGATCTTCGTGCGCATAAACGCACTGTGGTGCTGTCTGCGCTGGACGGAGAGCGGCGTGGTTTGCTGCCCCGTCCTTCCCCGCCCCCCTGGGGTGATGAAAATATGCTGCCGGTGAAGAGAGAACGCTCAGGCTAGGAGTGGCCTCCAGCTCGTCGAGACCTTGAAGGCTGAGAACGAGCAGCTGAAGCTCGAGCTGGAGAAGGCGAGAGCTGAGCTGAAGCTCGTGAAGGTGGCGGCGGGTTTTTTCATCTCCTCGTTCCTCCTTCTCCTCCCCGTTTTCGTTTTTTGTTCACCCTCTTGCTCGTCGACCTGCCCACCGCCACCCATCTTCATTGAATGTTGTCGATCCCTCCCTCTGGTGCCCAGTTTTTTATCAATTGAAGTGCCGCTCCCAGAACTCGTACCCATTTTTTTTGCACGGGGAAATCGTGGAATTTGGATTGGGTTGTTGCCCCGGAGCTACAAGAACGACAATTCCCGTTTTCTATTTCGCCACAATTTATTCAAACACTCTCGCTTTGGATTTCCACACAGTGCATCGAGGAGTCGCGCTCTCGCGCGGGAGGTTCTCGCATTTTATTGAGACGCAGCTCCCCCGACATTCAGGAATCACGCTCTCGCTTCGGACTACGTGACAATTTACTTGAGAATCGAGCTATCGCTCCAGACTTCCCACGATCTACGCGGGACTTACGCTTCAGCGACCCGCCCGCTCGACCTGGCCGTCTGGGCCTTCTCGCTCAGACTGCGCCCCTGGCCCCCGGCTTGCAACAACGGCAATCATCATAATACCTATACGACCACCCTTCGGGTGATAAGGAGGTTCGGGGGGGGGGAGGAACCAACGTCTCACTCGATCGGTCTCACTATCGATCTCACTATCGATCTCCGTATCGGTCTCGCTCGATCGATCTCCCTCGCTCGATCTCACAATCGATCTCACTCGATCTATCTCACAAGTGATCTGACTATCGATCTCACAATCGATCTCACAATCGATCTCACAATCGATATCACATTCGGTCTCACTATCGATCTCACTATCGATATCACAACCGCTATCACAATCAACGTCATCACCATCAACAACAACATCAACATCAACATCATCATTACCAACATCATCATAATCGGGACACCGTCCTCATCATCAACACCAACATCATCATCATCATCACGGTCATCAACATCATCGGGACACCACCATCATCATCATCACCATCATCACAATCATCATCATCATCAACATCATCATCAGCAGCATCGGGACACAGTCATCGTCATCATCATCATCAGCAGCAGCATCATCATCGGGACACCAGCATGATCACCATCGTTATCACCATCATCATCATCACCATCGGCACACCATCATCATCATCTCATCCTCATCATCGACATCATCATCAGCATCATCAACATCATCATCAGCATCATCATCGTCATCATCGGGGCACCATCATCATCATTACCAACATCAGCATCAACATCATCATCATCATCATCACCATCGGGACGCCATCATCATCAACATCGTCATCATCACCACCATGAGAATAAACATCATCATCGGGACGCCATAATCATCATCAACCTCATCATCATCAACATCATCATCGTCGGGACACAATCTTAATCAGCATCATCAACATCAACATCATGATACTCATCATCATCGGGACACCATCATCGTCATCATCATGATCATCAACACAATCATCATGATCATCATCATCCTCATCACGGGGACACCATCATCATCATCATCAGCATCATCGTCATCATCATCATCGACATCACCATCATCATCGGGACACCACTATCATCATATCATCATCATCATCATAATCATCATCATCATCATCATCATCATCATCATCATCGTCTTCATCATCATCAGCATCACCATCATCTTCTTCATCATCATCATCATCGTCGTCATCATCAGCAGTATCATCATCATCAGCATCACCATCATCATCACCATCATCATCATCTCATCATCATCATCATCATCATCATCATCATCATCATCATCATCATCGCGGGACACCGCGGGACACCGGCGGGACACCGCGGGGCACCGCGGGGCACCGCGGGACACCGCGGGACACCGCGGGACACCGGCGGGACACTGGCGGGACACCGCGCGCCACCGGCCGCCCAGAAGAGACACATTTGGTCCGGCCGCGCCTCAGCCACAGGGACACCAGCGGGACACCGGCGGGACACCGGCGGGACACCGCGCGCCACCGGCCGCCCGGCGGAGAATCATTTGGTCCGGCCGCGCCTCAGCCACAGGAGACTTTCCTCTCGCCCGCCCACGCAGCTTCGCCTCGCCCGCGCGCACGGCACGCACGGACACGAAACCGAAATGGATTTCCCGGTAGGGGGGCTTTCCGTTCCACTTCGATCTCACCCTTTCACCTCCGGTTGTTCGCTCTTACTTGCCCGCGTGTCATTCAAAACGAGTTCCCCACACCCTCGATACCCGCCCTTTTTGTCTTCGATCACGCCCCCTTTATGGGGATTAATTCTCTCTGCGGGGGGCGGCGGGCTTAGATAGACGGGCAAACCTGAACGGGCGGACAATCCTTCGTGGGCGTACATGTGCCCGCCATTGGATTTGGTGTGGGCCCTGCAAAAAGAGGAGGGGAAGAACGAGGGAGAGTGGGAGGAAGGGAGGGGGAGGGACGAAGGAAGAGGGAAAACGCCAGGAGAGAAGGAACGAAGAGGGAGGCGGTTGATTAGAGGCAGAAAGAGAGAGAGAGAGAGAGAGAGAGAGAGAGAGAGAAAGAAAGAGAGAGAAAGAGAGAGAAGGAGAGAGGGAGAGAGAGAGAGAGAGCGAGAGAAAGAAGACAGATAAGAGAGAGGTAGAGAAAGAAAGAGAGAGAGAGAAGGGAGAGAGAGAGAGAGAGAGAGAGAAAGAGAGAGAACGAGGGAGGGAGGAGGCAGGAAAGGGGAGGGAGAAGGAAGGAGGGAGAGGAGGGAGAGGGGATAGGGCAGAGAGGCGTAACGATGAGGGAGGAGAGGCAGGAAAGAGAAAGGAGGAGAGGAGGGAGGAGGGAGGAGGGAGAGGGAGGAGGAGCAGGAAGGTAAGAGAGTGAACATTCGAGGAAGTCCTCGGCGAAAGCGCCGTTCCTGAAGGAAGTCTCGGGAGGGAGCCCACGACGGGCGGGCGTTCCCCTGACGTGGGCGGGTCGGGCGGGTGGGACATTCAAGCGGGATGCCTGAGTATGGCGAGAGCGCGATTGCCAAGTAAATTGTAGCGGCGTCCTTGGCGCAGCGTGTTTCCTTAGCGTCGAAAGCGCGATTTCTGAATGAATTGCATGGTCGTCACAGGCGAGAGCGCAGCTCCTGAAAGAAATGTGGGGCTCTCTGGCGGGAGCGTGGGTCTTGAGTAAATTGCGAGGAAGTTGTCATTGAATTGCGTGGAAGTCTCAAGCGGGAGCGCCGTTCCTGAGTAAATTGAGCGCGCGCTGGTTGGGCGGGCAGGCCCCGACTGGCGGGTCGAGCGGGCGGGTCGTTGAAGCGTGAGTCCTGCTTGAGCCGCCAGGCAGTATGTAGCGGGAGCGCGATTTCTGAGTGTCGAGGACCGGCATCTGAATACATTGTGAGGAAATATCATGCGAAGCGGCTCCGTGGTGAGTTGCGATGAAATCCCAAACGAGAACACGATTCTGCAATACATCGTCACGAAGTATCATGCGGGAGCTGTGATTCGGTGGTAAATCGCCACGAAGTCCCAAGCGAGGGCCCAAGTCAGGCGGGAACCGCTGTTGTTGTAAACTGGGGGCCAACGGCACAGTTTGAGCCTCAAGACGTCCCCTGATAAAAAACTAGGGTGCAAGCCCCAGGAAGGGCACTTTCATTGAAAAATGCCACTTGTACCGGGCGGCGGGGGATCAACAATATTTTGCTCTGGAATGAAAGTTCAACAGCAACAACAAACAATCATTGTAAGTCTGTTTGCTCTTACTTACCCGCGTGCCATTCAAAACGAGTTCCCCACACCCGATACCCGCCCTTTTTGTCTTCGATCACACCCCCTTTTGGGGGGATTATTTCTCTTTGCGGGGGGCGGCGGGCTTAGACAGGCGGGCAAACCTGAACGGGCGGACAATCCTTCGTGGGCGTACATGTGGCCGCCATTGGAATTGGTGTGGGCCCTGCACAAAAAGGAGGGGCAGAACGAGGGAGAGTGGGAAGAAGGGAGGGGGAGGGACGAAAGAAGAGGGAAAACGCCAGGATAGAAAGAGCGAAGAGGGGGGCGGTTGATTACAGGCAGAAAGAGGGAGAGATAGAGAGAGAGAGAGAGAGAGAAAGAGGGAGAGAAAGGGAGAGATACTGACATATAAGAGAGGCAGAGAAAAAAGAGAGAGAGAGAGGGGGGGAAGAGAGAGAAAGAAAGAGGGAGGGAGGAGGCAGGAGAGGGGAGGGATAAGGGAGGAGGGAAAGGAAGGAGACGGGATAGGGCAGAGAGGCATAAGGATAAGGGAACAGAGGAGGGAGAGAGAAGGGAGGAAAGGAGGGAGGAGGGAGAATGAGGAGGAGCAGGAAGGTAAGAGCGTGAACGTTCGAGGAAGTCCTCGGCGAAAACGCCGTTCCTGAAGGAAGTCTTTGGCGGGAGCCCACGACGGGCGGGCGATCCCCTGACGGGCGGGTCGGGCTGGTGGGACATTCAAGCGGGATGCTTGAGTTTGGCGAGAGCGCGATTATTAAGTAAATTGTAGCGGCGTCCTTGGCGCAGCGTGTTTCCTGAGCGTCGAACGTGTCTTTCCTGAGTAAATTGCATGAAAATTGCAGGCGAGAGCGCAATTCCTGAATAAAGTGTAGAGGGCTCTCTGGCGGGAGCGTGGGTCTTGATTAAATTGCGAGGAAGTTTTGATTCAACTGCGAGGAAGTCTCAAGCGGGAGCGCCGTTCCTGAGTAAATTGTGAGCAAGTCTCAGATGGGAGCGGGGGTCCTGACTAAATTGCGAGGAAGTCACAGGCGGGAACACCGATCCTGAGTAATTTGTGAGGAAGTCTCAAGGGCGGGGGTCCGTAGTAAATTTGGAGAACGTCTCAGGCGGGAGCCGTTGTTGTTGTAATCCGGGGGGGCCAGGGGCCCAGTTTGAGCACCAAGATTTTCCCTATCAGAAAACCGGGTGCGAGTGTCGAGGGGCACACCTCGATTGAGAAAGGAAACCGCCTGCGCCGGTGATGGGGGATCAACAATCATTATTTT